CCGGGGGGGATGCCCTACCGCCCGCGAGGAGCCAGCGTCCTCCCGGCGGGACGAGGCAGAGGAGGCTTCGTGCTTCAGCACAACAGCCTCCGCGATTTGCTAGGGCCGGTTATTTAAAGCGAGCCACTTCTGTTACCAAAACAGCCCCTTGCAGGTGGCCCTGGGCGCGCTGGAGCCTCCCCTGCCGCATATCCCCATCGCCTGCAAGCGGCGCCCGGAGCGCCTTTATGAGCGAAGAGGAAGGAAGTGAGGAATGGTCTTTTATTGTCATCGCTGTCCTCTACTCCGCAGAGACCTGGCTCAGGTTTGTCCAGCTCCCACCCAGACCTTGGGAACGGCAGAGCCGGCACCCCTCCGGGACCGAAGGTACGAGCTGGGTCCCCGCGAGGGTCCGTTTTGGTGGGGGCAGTTGTAGCCCCGTATTCCTACTAACAACAAATGCTCTGCTCAAACTGCGCCTGCTAATCTTCAACCCGCCACATTGCCCTGGAAGCAAAAGCACCAGACCCAAAACTTGCAGGCAGTGGGGGGAGACCTGTGTCCCCTGGGGGGCCACCAGAGCTGTCCCCGGGCTGTAGGCTGCCCCTCGCCCTCTGCATGCATTCTTGTTGGGTTCTAGTAGTAGTACAGCAAAAATAACCTCCGCGTTCACAGACATAGCCCCAAAACCAGGGGAATAACAGTCCTGGTGCTGTGGCTCACAGATCTGCCAGACGTCATCGCTGCAGTGCCTCCTCTGATCCAGGCCCAGCTCTCCCAAGAGACAGAGGCCTCTCGCCTCCCTCCGCGTCCCTGGTTTCCACGCTGCCTTAAAAGGTCCTGTAGGTGAGGAACTCCTTGAGCTTCCTGGGAATGGGGAGCGCCAGGACCTGGTATGTCGTTAGGAAAGTGCGCAGAGCTTTGCGACACAAGTGCTTTAGTGATGAGAGGACCCTGGGAGCGGTCCAGAACTGGACGTGGCCATCTCTGGTCCTGCGACGAGAGACCAGAGCAGGCCGTGAGCTTGCCAGTCCCCGAGCAGACGCCCGCCCCAGCATAGCGCAAAGAGCAAGCTACAATTGCCCCAAATATCCTGAGCCTGCAGCAACCACGCACACCCGCTCCCCAACCTGGAAAACCAGCTGCAGCCAGCCTGCGCTCCCCAGGCTCGTTTCAGAGGGAAGCCCTTTCTCGGTCGCGCGCAGCGGACCCAGAGTTCGCTGGGCAGAGCCAGAGCAGCAGCAGGAGAGAGCAGCCACGTGTTTCTCTGCTCCTTCCCCCCTGCCAGGCGCCGCTCCACATGCCCCCTGCTCCCTCCAGCAGACATACGCACCCCGTGGCAATGAAGCCGCCGTGTGGAAAGTACATGCAACACAAGCCGTTGGTCATAGGAGCAAA